ATAATAATAATAATAATGTCCTGTATAATAATAATAATAATAATGTCCTGTATAATAATAATAATAATAATGTCCTGTATAATAATAATAATAATAATGTCCTGTATAATAATAATAACAATAACAATGTCCTGTATAATAATAATAATAATGTCCTGTATAATAATAATAACAATAATAATAATAATGTCCTGAATAATAATAATAATAATAATGATATAATAATACAGAGCAGTTTTCCTGAAATGTCATACACAATGATGCCACAAGAGGGCGATAAGACATAACTATACACTGTACATATTTGACCAGTTGAGCAGCTGTACTAGTAGAGAGCTCAGTTTATGGAATAATCCGGTAACTGTACATTTCCACTGACCTGCAGCATTTTATCCGGGCTCGGCTCGATGCCGGGGGGCATGTTGCTGGGATCAAAGGCGATCTGCTCCACTTCAGCAAAGTAGTTTTCTGGGTTTCTGTTCAGCACAAACCTTCCCACGCGGATCAGCGGGTACTCGCTGTGAGACCAGACCTGGTGATGTAGAACGCGTTAATGTGTCAATGTGGAAATAATTTCAGAACAAAAATGACGTTCTGCTAACAATCCCACAGATTAAAAATAACTTTAGTTCTCCGTATCAGCTATGTTGGTTCTTTAAAGCCCAACTCCAGTCCAAACGTTTTTGTTTTTTTTTTGTCAGTAATCTCTGACAACTTTTTGCTGCTGTTTGTGTCCCAATTTTGAAATCTCTCTATTTCATGTCTACATGATAGATGTCAGAACAGGAAGTGAGGGGATATCACCCCAACATAGACAGAAGACTGCAATACAAACAAATGCATGTGTGTGAATCTCTGCCTGTATTATATTCCTGTCTATGTCCCCATTAGAATGATTCCCCCTGACTTCCTGTCCAGATGATGGAGCGGCAGGTATGTTCCCGCCCCCCGTCTCCGCCGCCGGCTACCTTGCACGCCGGGTCGAGTACACAGTGAGAGGAGAGCTGAACTCGCAGCCCTTCCTCTCAGCTGTCACAGGAGTTCTAGAACAGTGCTGTGCTAGACCTCCTGTATTGATGGTGACAGGTTCAATAAAGAGAACCTGTCACCTCCAAATACTATCACACAGGGGCTTGTTAGCTAGCTCCTGTGTGATAGCAATAAAGTTAAGTGAAAAAATAAAAAAAATTTATAAAAATGATAAAATAAACATTTATGTAAAAAAATAATAATTAAAATGATAAAAAGATAGTAAGATCAAAAAAATTAAGAAATTAACAAATAATTTGAAAAAAAAATGATAACAAATAAAAAAGTGAAAGAGAATCAGATAAATAAAAATTTAAAAAATGCTCTTTCGCCTGTGTAGGCAAAAATCCTTGCACCGGCCCTGTCTACATACACTGTAAATCACTATACAAATGAATAAAATCAATGTAGAAGCCCTGTTAGAACGATGGTCAGAGGACTGGAGCTTACTCACTTTGGTCACGTCAAAGGGATTAAAAGAACATTTCTCTGCTTGCTCAAAGGTCATGACCTGGATATACATTGTCCAGGATGGGAAGGTCTTCTTGGCAATAGCCTGGAAGAGGTCCCGGGTGGCATAATCTGGGTCCTTCACCACCAGCCTGTCTGCTTCCTCCACTGTCAGATTCTTGATACCTTGGTCAGTCTGCAAGAAATACAAAACATACTCAATAAATACATTAGCAAGTGTCAGTTGTCATCACAGTTATGGGATCGCTAATATAGCACTGACAGCGCTGAGATAAAACCAAGACTGAGACAGTGATGATTGGCCGAGCTCAGGTTTGTGCGTGGTGCTTGAGACTGGTCAGAAAGTGCTAACATTGCTGACCACCCTCCAATGTCAATGGGCACTCTTAAAGGTGTACTCCGGCATAAGCAAATATTGTCCTCATACAAGAGTCATGTGTATTCTTTCTTGAATCTCGTTGAGCTTTGTGTATTTCTTCCAGATCTGTGCAGTAATCCAGTGTGAACCTTGGAGCTTCCTGTAATAAAGATCGGTCACTGCAGCTCTCTAACCTTGTGCAGAGTGACTGGTCTGGTCTCCACCCCCTTTTGTAGTGGGTGGGGCCTGCTGGGTCCCTCCCACAGCTCTGCTCTCTGCACAGGCTATGTACACTACAGTGATGGTGTCAACGCTACATGTACAGGATAATATTTGCTTTTGCAAAGGCATTTGGTGCACACAAAGTGGATTTATATTGTTTGTGGCTATTGAAAAATAATATATTTAAATACACGTTTGAGTTCAGCTTTAAACTTGCCCTATACATCACAATTCCACTGGACAATCCCTGTATGATCGACTTTAGGTTAACCAATACACATGCACCTAAGCAATCTATGCAATCTATATTGTACATAGCTGCTGGCCCATCTCAGGGCTAGTTCACACCAAATGCAGACCAGCTCTGCATGAGTGTTATACTGCGTTTTTGATGCGTTTTGGGCCGTTTTAGGTTTAAAATGGGCTTTCAGTGCGTTCCAGTGCGTTTGCATGTGTTTTTGATGCGTTTGCATGCGTTCAAGAGCGTTCCAGAGCAGGTAAAATAGGGCTTGCTGCAGTTTTTTTACATGCTCTGGAACTGAACGCTGCGGTGTGAACTAGAGCCCAAAATACCATTGGAATACATTGGACGCAGTTTTGATCTGGTCTGTAACTGCTCTGCTCCTGGAACGCGCTTGGTGTGAACAAGCCCTAAAGAAGACTGATAAAACCGTAATGTGACCAGATGAAAGTGACTTTCTACTATGCAAAATTAATGAATGAGAGAGTTTAGCAGAAATCGTAGGTTACATCACCACTCATATCCTCAACTTTAGCCATTAAAAAAGACCAGCAACCCCCCACTGTCCACGAAAAAGTGACTAGTCCCTAACACTGGCACATGGTGGGTGCGTTGTATGCCTAGCCCTATGCACAAGCCAAGTCTTATAAAGTCAGTATTTGCATGGGCTTTTTTGGCAGTGGCAGAGAAGGTGAGGCCGCTCTTAAAGGAGAACTATGGAGTGAGTGCTTTTCACTCACCTCATAGTTGTAGCCGACCTGTGCCAATGAGACTGTCACAGGTCGGCTCAGTAGGGGGAGGGGGCGGGTACAGCTGGCTCTGCCTCTAGATAGGAAGAGCCAGCTGTCAGTTACGCAGCTGGGCGGATCCCGGCACAATTGTCGGGATCCGCTTCAGCTGCGGCGTCTCAGTATAGCGCGAGCAGCAGCTCGCGGTATACTGAGCCTAGGGTGACGGGAGGACGCTAGTTTGTGTCCTCCCGTTACCCTAAGGAGAACTATGGGGAAAAGCCTTAACCCC